TCTGGGCAGACATGATGGTCTGGATTAACGCATAGTCCATTCACTTTTCTGCTCCAAGCTGCTGGGTTCTGCATTAAGTCCTTGTGCTTCTGGGGCCGTGGCTGTGCCGGAGAGTCGCTCGTGGGGGGCAACAGACGACCTCGGTAGGACGTGAAGGACGGACCAGAACACCCCCCTTCCCATGAGGTTTTTGTTGCCCCCGACCCCCAGCTCATACCCGCTGTCCACAAGGCTCCCGTGCCGCTGCCATCTTTCATTCCAGAGAGGAGAGTGCAAAGGGTGCAACACCCTTTCCCCTCCCGGCAGGCATGATGGCCTGAATTAACGCATAGTCCGTTCGCTTTTCTGCTCAAAGCTGCTGGTTTTCTGCGTTAAGTCCTTGTGCTTTTAGGGCCGGGGCCGTGCCTGAGAGCCGCTCGTGGGGGGGCAACTGGTGTCAGTTCACATTTTTAACCATTATTCCCAGTTTTCTTGAAGAGTGTTAGTTTTTTTTTTTTACTCAAACGTAAATTAGATCATGGACAGATAATGAGGCCAACAAACTCTCTTTTACTTTTTTTTTTTTTAGCTTTTTGGGTCACACTCGGCAATGCACAGGAGTTACTGCTGACTCTGCACTCAGGAAATATCCCTGTAGGTGCTCAGGGGACCATATGGGATGCTCGGAATCGAATCTGGGAATGCTGGGTGCAAGGCAAACATCCTACCCGCTGTGCTATTGCTCCATACCCCTCTCTTTTGCTTTTAATTGGTGAAATTTTAATTTTTTAAATCGCTTAAGGCGTGTTCTCAGGATACCTAAGTGTAAATAATAAATGCATACAGCTAGTGCATCATTTCAAATGTTGTGTGTTTGCTCTTTAGCATGAGATAAAACCTGCATAAGACAGAATTTTACACATGGAGAGCATCATGCTAAGTAAAATTGGTCAGAAAGAGAGAGACAGACATAGAATGACTGCACTCATTTGTGGAATATAAAGTAACATAATGTGAGACAATTAGCTAAGGATAGTAGAGATAAGGGCCAGGAGGATCACTCCACAGTTTGGAAACCAGCCTAACGTGCTGGGGGAAAAGGCAGTTGGATGGAGAAGGGCCCACTAGGTCAATGATGGTTGGAGAGATGGGAGATACATGCTGAAAGTAGACAAAGGACCAAATATGATAGCCTCTTAGTATCTGTATTGCAAACCATAATGCCCGCAAGTAGAGAGAGAGTAAGAAGGAATGTACCTGCCCCAGAGGCAGGGGGTGGAATGGGGTGGGGGTGGCGAAAGGGATACTGGGAACACTGGTGGTAGAAAATGTGCACTGGTGGAAGGATAGGTGCTCCATTGTATGACGACAATTTTTATTTATTTTATTTTACTTTACTATTTTTGAGTCGCACTCAGCAATGCTAAGGGATTACTCCTGGCTCCGCGCTCATGAATTACTCCTGGCAATGCTTGGGGGACCATACGGGATGCCTGGGATTGAACCCCGGTCGGCCTCGTGCAAAGCAAACACACCCTACCCAGCTGTACTGTTGCTCCAGCCCCATATGATTGAAACTTATTTATGAAAGTTTGTAACTGTATCTTATGGTGATTCAACTAAAAAATAAATAAAAAGAATTAACTGAATTACAAACATGAGATATGAATATTACACTCATCTCCAAAGTAATATTTGCTACCAGGCATTTTCTTATATTTGGGTTTTTTGATTTCTCTGGGGTATTTTTTTTTAGTTCTTCAATAAGTGTAGTAAGATACGTGGATATTTGTGAATTTGTCACCACCTCAAAACGGCACTATTATTAACCATTTGTATGAGCTCCATACAAATTAGTAAAAATTTACTAATTTTTATACATGGTAAATTTGATTTGCTTGCCTTTTAGCAATTTAAACAGCTACATTTTCAGTATTAAAGCAATTCTATGTGCTTCTGCATTTAAAAAAGATGGAGTTTCAGCTAACTATTAAACCCAGACTGAAAAAAAAATTCGCTGGAAGAGCTGTAATGAGAAACAAAGTATCTCTAAAACAAGGTACTCTACAGGAATTTTACTCCATGGCTTAGAGGCCCAGCATACATACTAGGGGAAAAGGGAGCTCAGATAAAGAAGGGAACACCAAATAAAGGTGTTGGGAGGATCCTCCCAGGATGGGAGAAGCATGTGGAAAGTAGACTACAGACTAAAAATGATTGTCACTCATTGCCTCTTTTGCAAACCACAACACCCAATAAGAGAGAGAGAGAACAAAAGGGAATACCCTGCCACAGAGGCAGGGTGAGATGAGGGGGGGAATGGGGGGTGAGAGGGACACTGGGATCCATGGTGGTGGGAAATGGGCACCGGTGGAGGGATGGGTATTTGATCATTGTATAATTGAAACCCAAGCACAAAAATGTGTAAGTCTGCAATTGTACCTCATGATGTCTCACTATTAAATATTTTTAATTAAAAAATTAATAAATAAATTTAAAAAAATAAAAATTTGAGAACTTAAAAAAAGGTACTCTAACATAGACACACAGTATCTCTAAAACAAAATACTCTAAAATGAAGAGACACAAAGTATCTCTAAAACAAAGCACTCTAAGAAAAAAGACACAAAGTATCTCTAAAACAAAGTTTTCTAAAACAAAATGACACAAGTTATCTCTAAAAACAGGTGCTCAGGGAACCATATGGAATGCTGGGAATCTCATCGGGTCAGCCGCTTTCAAGGAAAACGCCCTACCTGCTGTGCTATTGATCCGACCTCCTTCTATATTTTTTAGGAATGTCCATATTATTTTCCAAAAAGCCTGGACCAGTTGACACTCCCACCAGCACTGAATGTCCCTTTGTGCCCATACCCCCAGCATAGGTTGTTTGTGTTATTTTCAAGTTGGGCACTGGCAAATATTAAATTTAACATACAGATAACCGGGAAATACATTAGAGAGGTAGTGCGCATACTTTGTATGCTGGAGACCAGGGTTCAATCGCTGAACAATGCCAGGAGCAAACCCCAAGCACTGTGCCTGAAATGGTCCCTGAAAATCACTGGGTGTGCCCCCAAATCTTCAGAAATAAAATGAGCAACATAACCTAAAACACAAAGGTGATTTTGAGCACATCATGAAACATTTTTAAAAAATAAATAAGTAAATAAATAAATAAAATAAAATCCAGCTCCCGGACGAGACCAGTGCAGTCTCCTGCCCCTGCGCCTGGCTGTTCCTCGCTGGGGTCCCTTGGAGGGGAGTGGGTTGAGCTTTCCTCCCCACCCCGACCAGGGCTCCGGCAGCCGAAGACCTCCAGCACCAGCCACCACCTTGTTGAGACCACTCTCTGCACACATGAAGGTACTGGCAGAGGGACAAAGCCATGCGGGTTCCGGGGCCGAGATCTCCAAGCATACTCGGATTGGAGTCGAGCATCCTCCACCCAGATCCTCCAAATTCCAGTAGGCGGGGTCACACCCACCACCTGGCCCCCTGGCTCCGTGTAATCCCATCAACGACCAAGACTCAGAGACTATAAAATCCAGCTCCCGGAACCGCGTGGCCGCATTTGTGGCCACGCAACATCTTATCAGGACATCTTTTATGACATCTTATTATCTCATTCCTACTTTGGACAAACTTGCAGGCTATCGAATGTAGCCTGCCCACAGGGCAGAGTCTGGCAAACTCCCCGTGGCATACCAAATATGCCAAATAAAGTAACAACGATGGGTCTCATTCTCCTAAAGAGCCTTGAATATAATCTCAGGGCTAGGATGAAAGAGACGTTACTGGGGCCTGCTTGAGGCAATCGACGAATAACATGAAACTTTTCCAGCTGTTCAGTTGAAATTTCATCCTTATAATTTTCATGCTCACAGTCCCCAATTTGTTGGCCACAAAATTTTTATTATACTCCAATTTCACTGGTGCTATTTGTGTTAGGAAAAAAATTAATTTTAAGAGAAATTTAAATTTTTTAATTTAAAAAATTGTTTAAAAATCTGGATTGTATGGCTGGAGAGATACTAGAGCAGGTAGAGTGCTTGCCTTGCATGTAGAAAACCAGGCTCAATTCCCTGGCATCCTCCATGGTCTTCTAACCCCCGAGCTAGGAGGAAATTCTGAGTATCACCAGGCATGACCACAAAAAACAAAATAAAATAAAACACACAGCACACGAAATCATGACTAATATGATAATGACAAAGCCAAGCACACAACAATTTTTAAAGACTTTTATTTCATTTCCCACAAAAAAATATTCATGCTATGATGGCCTATTTTTAAAATCCCAGTGTAAACACAGAAAAACATGCTAAGAGGAATGCCTAAAATCTTGCTGGATCATTTATCCATTATCATAATAAATAAATTAAAAACAAAGGAACCTCATTCTGCACTGGGTGGGGTGAGCCCCTCAGGTCAAACGTGTTTCCTATGCCTTGAGAGGGTTTTTATGAAACTACTAAAGCTAAACCGGCTCACAGCAATTTCATCATGATTTTGTCCAGTTGGATCTAATTGATGCTGAACTCTGACTGCGGTAGGATGCCTGGCTGGGATGAATATGAGCCAGCCATAATCTGCTCTGCCAGTCCCCTGACACCCCCAACCCGGGGAAGTTTCTCCTAAGGGTGGCAGGAGGTGTGCTCCACGCCCCAAGCACAAAGAACTGGAAACAGACAATGCCCTGTTGTTCTCACTGAAGAACATGTCCGTCCTGAGACCTCCAGGGGTCCAACCCCATGTGTCAGGCAATGTCAGTGTTGGTCAGTGTCCTGGAAGCCAGGGTCCCATTTCCTGGTCTTTCGAGTCCCTTCATAGTGACACGTCACCCAGTTCTCTCGGTCATCACCAGGCTGGGTAGAGCAGGTCCCACTTTCCTTCTGGAAGCTTCTGAGAAGTCACAGGCCTCTGTTTTCTGCAGGAGTCTTGGGCGCTGGGGGTGTTAGCTGGAGCCTAGTGAGACCCGGTTCCAGGCCCTGCCTCTGGGATGTGGCGAAAGGACCCCCTCACTCATGGGAGGAGCACTGTGCATCTTGGGCCATGGGGGAGCTAGCCACCATCCAGCCCTCAGCAGGGAAGGCCCAGGCTGCCTGGCTGGCCATGGAGTAGAGGGTCTGCACCAGGCCTGTGAGGGGCACCCGGAGCTGAGTGAGCAGGGCCAGGTGCTCGTGAGAGAGTGGGGTGTAGACCTGCTGCCTCCGTACCTGCACCACATCCTCATACACAGCCTGGGACAGGCAGCGCAGGGTCATCACCAGGCCTCGCCGGAGAGAGGGGCGCATCTGAAGAGAGGGGTGCCTGTGACGAGGGGAGCGTTGGACTCTGGGTGACTGAGACTTGAGCTTCTTGTTCACAGGGGTGATGTTGGGTCCCGGTGACAGGGGCCTCCTCTGAGCTCTTTGGGGAGAGGAAACCTTGTGGGCCTCTTCACTGCAGCTGTGGTGAGCAGAGGCGGGGCCCTCTGGGAGACTGGCACCTAAATTCTCCCCATTGTACTCTGCATCTGAGAGGCTCCCTACAGAGGAAAATACTGGTCAGAGACATGGCACCTCATTTCCTGAGGAACCCCCCAGTCCAGGACACAGCAGGACCTCCTCCCCGGCCTTCTACCTTGTCCTCAAGGATCCCTGGGGCTCCCAATGGGCTGCCCCATTGAACAACCCTCGAAAGACCTTGACTATGACCTGCCCCTTGGCGGTCCCTGGGATCCTAAAGCAACACCCACCTGTTGTGTGGGGCGGGAGGCTCCCCCGTCTCCTCTGCCTCTTCCAGCCTCTGTCTTCATCTTCCTCAGAGCTGTTTTCTGACTCTGACAACACAGTGAGAGTAAATCCCTGACACCCGGAGGCCAGGAACTCCCCCCAACCCCTCGACTACCCTGGGACACCATGTCCTTCTACCTGATTGGTCTGCGAAGCTGCTCTCACCCCAGGCCTCATGATCCGTGTGCTTGTCCTCCGTGCTCTGGGGCTCTGGACCTGCAGACAAATACAGAGTTTGGGTGTCAGGCTAGTCGTGCAAATTCCACAGAGGCATTGCTGTGGATCCCAGCTCCGAGGCCACCTCCAGGCTTCAGGCACTCAGTCCAATCCAGAGCCTCCACCAGGGTGGAATTTAGCCCCGCTGGAAGGGATTTCTTACCTTTCTCCCTCTCTGAGTTCCAGCCAGAACAGGCCTTCTCTTGGAATGGTGGCTTTGAAGCGAGGTGCTGGAGCTCAGGTTCATGAGGGTGGAGGTCTTCAGATCCGGACGTCATCCTGAAGCCAAAGCAAGGTCCTCTCTCGGCCAGATCCAGGTCTTCACATCCGAAGCAAGGAGACCTCTTCTCGGCCAAGCGAGGTTCTGAAGCCCTGAGCACGCAGACGACCTTCACTCTGCCAGGTCCAGAGCAGGAGTGGTGGATGAAGAGAGGACTCATCCTCTTATAGCACTGTGGGTGGGCGGAGCTTGCTCCTATTGGTTGGGAGATTTAGGCTTCTGCCCAATCCTCATAGCCCCGGTCTCAAATTCCCTGGGATGCGCCTGAGGCAGGGCTTAATCTTTAGGGCGTGACAGTCCTCTCTGCCTTCCTAAGCATCTAATTCATCTTACAAATTGACATAAATGACCGAGTTCGAAGAAAAGGGTTTGTTTCCAGAGGATGGCTGAATATTGCCGAAATCTCCACGAAAGTATCAAATATGTAAACAGGCTTATATGTCATCATGTCCTGTTGGTCTTTTTTTGTTTTTGTTTTTGTTTTCGGCCCACTCACCTTGGTGCTCAGGACTTGCACCTTCTCTGTGCTCAGGGATCACTCCTATATGGGGGTTGGAGAGATTCCTGAGGTAAGACGCTTGCCTTACACAAGGTGAACCCAGGTTCACTCCCTGGCACCACAAATGATCCTGAGACAGCAGCAGGAGTGACCGCCCCCCGTCCCGCGTCCCCACCAACCCAGAACTGGGAATCAAACGTGAGCACTGCAGGATGTGGCCGAAAACAAAAACAAATACCTGTGGATAAGAGTGATCCTAAAGAGGTAAGGGTGCTAGCCTGCACGAGGCCAACCTGCATTTGATCCCAGATACCCCATTTGGTCACCAATGCACCACCAGGACTGATGTCTATGTGCAGAGCCAGGAGTAAGCCCTGAGCACCACCACTGGGTGTGGCCCCAAAACAAAAATAGACAAAACAAACAAACAAAAAACCCCACCTGTTTGTCTTCATTAATATAGAGACCAACTTAGATCAGCTTTTCATTCTGTTTCTATCCATGGAACAGGAAGCCACGTGGATGAAAAGGAAACCATGGCCTCTCATCTATTGGTTCTTTCCTCGTGTGAAAATGTGCTAGTTTGGGCCAGAGCCATAATATAGTAGGTGAAGTGCTTTCCTTGTCTGCAGCTGAACTGGGTTTCCTCTTCAGAAGGTACCTGAGCCCCTCCAGGTGTGGTCCCTTATATAGAGCCAGAAGTAAGCCTGAGTAGCACTGGGTATGGCCCCCATCAAAAGAAAACAGGCAAGAAAAACCTGAGTACATATTTGCAGGCTCTTGAATATCAAACTTCTGAAAGATATTATTTATTCTTTTTAGCATGCCTCCTAGTTCATATTTTCAAGTTACCCAAGTTCCCAGAGCCCCACCAGGAATTATCCCTGAGAGAATTAGCATTCAGTCCTGAGCACAGCTAAGTGTGGCCCCAAACCAACAACAACAGGAAAACCAAACCAACATAGAGAAATAAAGATTTATTATTTGGGGAAAAATAGTACAAGTGTCACTTACATGGATCCAACCGAGGTTGGATCCCTGGCATCCCATGGTCATCCCAGCACCAATGGATGTTTTCCTGATGAACACTGGGCCCCCCTTCCATTACCTTCCTGGGTGGCCTGAGAATTCCTCAAAGGTGGGTCTCCAGCAACATCGTGACTTCAGGCACTGAAACAGATGCCCGAGAGCACCAAGTCCCAAAGAGAAAAAGAAAAGAGTTTTGACCTGTGCCCATTTCAGGCAGAACATTGAAGATCCTTGGGAATTTCCTTGTGCCCTGAGGTCCCAGAGTTTTTTGTTATACTTATGAAGTGGTTTGAGGGCTGCTCCTAGGATCTGAGTTGAAGCCTTCTGGAGCCCAACACCTGCAGGGTGAGGATCGGGCCTGCGTTCACTCACCCCTGCCCAGTGGTTTTGTCAAACCCACAGGAACAAATCTTTCCTTTGTTAGAGTGTGACCAGATTGGTTGGGGTGGGATTTGCAGAAGGTTTTGTCTCTGGAGCTAAAGGCAATGTGAAAGTTTGGCTGTTATTCGTTTGGGGCATCCCCAGCAGTGTTGAGAACAACCAAAGGTTTTCTGGAGGCCAGGAAGGACCAGGAATTGCCCTACATTCCTGTGCATACTTGGAGCTCACCAGCCCTTTCCGCTCTCCCTGCAGGCTGGCATGAACTTTCATAACTTCAGATCGTGAATGAATGTGCGTTTGGTATGAGTGTCTGTGCGTGTATTTAAAAGAAGAAACACCTGCGGAGGATTCACTGTAATCATGCAGGGCTTTGGAGGAGATGCACAAGGGTATCTGGCGGGCAGAATGAGTACTAACACCCACACCGTAGTTCCTGGTTCACAGCAAGAAAACATGGGGACAGCCTGGAGTCAGGGGCGTGAAATAAGGCAAGGAGACTTCCTTGTGAAGTTTATAGGACTTTCTGCGCCTCTCCAGCCATAAGAAAGGACAGTGTCCTGGCAAACACGACACAGCCTCTGACAGGAAGTGAATACGACATGTGCTCTGAGGGCCTCCGTACAGGAAGAGCATCAGAAGTAGCTTCACCTGCAACTCTCTTCTGGCAGCCTCCCTTTTAGGCCACAGCACCACTGGAAGGATATGGGAGAATCTTCAATCCAAGGGTGTTTCTCTCTGGGTCCTGCTCAGGTGCTTTCATGGGAGCCCTGGTAGTCTTGACATTTATGTCTCTCAGTTGGTGAAAATAAACTTTTGCTGTTGTTGTTGTTGTTGTTTGTTTCGGGGTCACAACAAGCACTACTCAATATTGACTTCTAGCTCTGTTAGGAGACATTTCAGGAGAGACTTGGAGGACCATATGGGATGCCAGGGATTTGAACCGAATCCATGTTGATCACATGTATGGCAAGCACCCTACCCACTATACTGTCCCTCTGGCCTGGAAAAATGGTCTTAAACGTCCACGATGGTCAGTGGCATTCCTGATGTTCACGCCAATAAGTTGATGTTTTTGTTTGGTTGCTATTTTTGACACAAGCAGCTGTTCACATGGATGACTCCTCGTTTGGTGCTTGGGAGTCATTCCTGGTGGGGCTCAGGGGACCACGCAGTCCTGGGGATCAAACCCATGCCTCCCTCAGGCAGATTGTGAGCTCCAGTCCACTGATCCATTTTTGGACCCATATTTGTCTTCATGCTTTGATTTATCACCAGCAGGAGTGGAGGGCTTGTGCTTTCTCTCGATTGTTCTCCGGATAGTAGACCAGGAGAGGGACACACCTTTCTCAGTCCTTTTGTGTCTCTCAAAAAGTGACTGACCTTAAACTTTCCCTGCAAGCACATATAAAATCTCCGGTTTCTACTGATATTTGAAAAGGAGTTTTAGGTGTGGATTGAAGTGATCTGGTGTTAGCTTCAGGAGGAGATGCCTAACCCTGCCTGCAGCTGGGAAATGCCTGAGACAGCAGCCCCCTACACAGTAGACCGTTCCAAGGGTGCTCACAAACTCCTCATTCAGTGCTGCAGTTTCATTGCTAGATCTTTATCTTCACTTTCTTCTTGAAATTGGTCTACAATGTCCTATAGATAGGTCCAAGAGTTAATATAGTGGGTAAAGCACTTACCTTGCAAGCAACAGACCGGCTTTTGGTCCCCTGGGCCCCATATGGCTCTCTGAGCGCCTCCAGGGGGATTCTTGAGCACAGAGCCAGAAGTAAGTCCTAGGCACCACCAGGTGTGGCCCCTAAATAAAACAAAACAAAAAGTTCTATATACATCTTGGTTCCTTCTCAGACTTAGCTTAGACGTTTTATAGACAATTGACTCTTTTCCCAGAATTAATTCTTCACTTGCCAGAATTCACTAAGAAACTTTCCACTTCAACAGCCAGAGATACACCACAAAAGACTCCCGAATGGGTCAGCATGATAGTACAGTGGGTATGGTGGTATTTGCATGTGGCCAAACCCAGTTAGATACTCGAGCACAAACCCAGGAGTAAGTCCTGAGCATAATCAAATATGGCCCTAACCTCCACCCCACAAAAAAAGAGTCAGTTTTTCAATAACCTGCAAACTACAATGCTTTCAGGAGACACAATGATATCTATTAAGCACAGCATAATCTAGAGTTAGAAAAACTTTCTATTCCACAGTTTTCATTGGGATACACTATTGCTTCACTAGGTTGCATGATGCTTTGATTTATACTCAACCAAAAGTTTCTTATAAGTATAGGAACATTAGAGGCACAACCCACTCCTTATAATATCCTGAAAATGCCACCTGTAATACCATCTCTAAAGAAGACTATAGTAAATGGTTTCGAATTGACAGACCCTAATTACCACTAAGGCAGGATTTCTTTTTTTTAAATTTTATTTATCTATTTATTTATTTTTTTATTAGTGAAACACCATGAGGTACAGTTATAGACTTTCAAATTTTTGTGCTTGGGTTTCAGTTATACAATGATCAAGTACCCATCCCTCCACCAGTGCCCATCGTCCCATCTTCCACCACCACAGGTCCCAGCATCCCTCCCATCCCCCACCCCCATCCCACCTTGCCTTTTTGGCAGGGCATTCCCTTTTATTCTCTCTCTCTCTCTCTCTCTCTCTCTCTCTCTCTCTCTCTCTCGTTTTGGGTCCTGTAGTTTGTAAGAGAGGCATAGAATGGCAATCATGTTTGGTCTATAGTCTACTTTCAACATGCATCTCCCACCCTGGGAGGATCCTCCCCACACGCTTTATTTGGTGCTCTTTTCTCTATCTGAGCTTCCTGTTCCCCTAGCACGTGTGGCTGGCCTCCAAGTCGTGGAGCAAATATTCCTGGTACTAATCACTCCTGGGTTTTAGTCTCCCATTTTGTTGCTTTATGTTTCCTAGATGAATGCAATCTTTCTGTGTCTATCCCTCTCTTTCTGACTCATTTCGCTTAACACGATACTTTCCATGTAATACCACTTGTATGTTAATTTCATGACATCATCTTTTCTAACAGCTACATAGTACTCCATTGTGTAAATGTACCAAGGTTTCTTTTACCAGTCATCTGTTCTCGGGCCCTCAGGTTTCTTCCAGATTCTGGATATTGTAAAGAGTGCTGCAATGAACAAACAAGTGCAGATGTCACTTCGACTATACTTTTTTGCCTCTCTGGGATATATTCCCAGGAGGGCCACGGTATATT